TCTTCTGGTAATAGACATTCTATTATCTCTAGCTACATGACTGTGTAATAATTGAACACTTTGGAATTAAGCCATGAGAATTGATTCAAATAATTATAACCACACTAATGAGACCATATGACTATCACTCCACTTCAAAGCTATAAAACGGAACGCTTCCATTTCCTCTTCCTTCTCCCTGTCTGCTTAGCACTTTGTTTTATCTCAAATTCCACATGTTCGAGAAATTTCATCATTTCACCATCCTTCCTTGTCATTAATTCAATGAAGTCTTTCAGCCATAATACAAATTAAAATAAAATTTCCTGCCTCTTATTTTGAGGCTAGAAAGTTATTTCTTTTGAGTTAGCAAGCAAGTGGAGCTTCCCCCAAAGAGTAAGAAGGCATTTTGAAAGAACTTTGGAAATTTTTTCAGGAAGAAAGGGGAAGAGAGGGAGACTAGTAATATCAGGAGTCCTGGTGCTTATTGCCTGACTTTTGGGAAGACCCGAGCTGTTTATGGGCCTGTAAGTGAGGATCTAATGTCGGAGCCAGCACAGATTCATCAGTGAAACAAAATAGATCACCCCCACACAGGTATGCTTTTAATTAAAAACTGTAGTAATCTTAAGATCCTTGAGCCTTAGTTTTAAAAAATTTTGGAGGTGCAAGTGACTTCAGAGAACATTTAACTCAACTATCTTCTTTTCACTTCTGGAAACTGAAGATAGAGAAAGGAGAAGGGACTTCCTCAGGATCACATAGCAAACTAGTGACACAGCCAGGACTAGAAGTCATGGTTTAGTACTGTTTAGTGCCAGTTTAGTACCTTTACCTTGTGCCAGTGACACACTCCCTGCCCCCATCCCCCAGTCTTCCACTCTCTCAATGAAAACCTTCTGCGATATCTCTCTGCTCCCATGCCTCTCGTGTTAGGGAACGCACGACATCCCAAGAAGGCCTATTCTGTCCATTTTCAGACAGCTCTTTAAAAAATTCTTTCTTTGAGTGAGCTGAGATTTGCTTCTCCTCAGCTGACACTCTCTGATTCTAGGTCGGCTCCCTCTGCCCCAGGCATACTTCAGAGGTTTGCTCTGATTCCGCACTGCCTATATGAGTCCTCCCATCTCTAGACTAAACATCCTATTGTCTTACAATTCTATTCTGTTTTTGGCTGCAGTGATCTATGATTGTGCCACTGCACTCAAGCCTGGGTAACAGAGCAAGACCTTGCCTCTTAAAAAACAAATCAGTGAACTTTGAGCAAAGCAGATTATCCTCCATAATGTCGGTGGACCTCATCCAATCAATTGAAAGCCTTAAGAAAAAGATAGACCTTCCCTAGGAAGAGGGAATTCTGCCAGCAAACTGCTTTCCGACTCAGGAGGCAACATCAAGTCTTCCCTAGGTTTCTAATCTGCTGGGCTACCCTGCAGATTTTAGACTTGCTAGCCTTTACAATCATGTAAGCCACTTCCTTAAGAATCAATCTCTTTCTTGTTCTCTCCCTCTCTCTCTCTCTCTATGCACACACACACACACACACACACACACACACACACAAAATTGGTTCTGTTTCTCTGAGAACTCTGTGAGTTAATACAATAGTTTTTCAACCATACAACTTTGCCTTCGGCACAATTTCAGAACTGGAAAGAGAAGTCTAGGTTGACCTCTTGTCATCCTATCATTCATTTATTCATTCATTCAACTAGTAGAGCGCTTATTCTGCACCTAGGTGCAGGTGATTGAAAGGAAAATATTGTAACCAGAAATTTGAACTTAGGGAGGACTTTGATAAAACCAGAACCCACTCAAAATTATTAGTGCAGAGTGGCAAAGAGTTTAGGCTCAGTAGTCAAGCTGTCCTGGGTTCATAGTCTGGCTCTAACAATTGTCAGTTGGTGGCCTTGGCAAGTCACTCAGTCTCCCTGAGCCTCAGTTTCTGCATCTGTAAAAGGGAGAATTTGGATTACATTGTTTTAAATTTTCCCTTTAGTTTTGGACAGGCAGTGTTTCACTTTAGTGAAAATTCAGGAAGGAAAGAATTGTATGTAGTGTGAAGGCTCTACTCTAGGGCCTAGGGAAAAGCCTGATATATGATCTTGCCATGCATATATACTATCTATTCAAATAGGTAATATTTACTAGGCACATGCTCTTTCACATTCATGATTTCACTTCACCACTCCCGGCTAATTTTTTGTATTTTTAAATTGAGTCAGGGTTTCACTATGTTGGCCCTGCTGGTCTTGAACTCCTGGCCTCAAATGATCTGCTGGCCTCAGCCTCCCAAAGTGCTGGGATTACAGGCGTGAGCCACGGTGCTGATCCCTTTTGCATTTCTTTAAGTGGTAAAATAAAACATGTACATTAATATATTCCAAAGGTTTATCAACTCTCAAACATATAAAAATAAGAGGCCAAGGTGTGCAAACGGTGTACAATACCATGCTTGGTGACCAATGTTTTTGTATTCTATCTTTCTTAGAACTTATCCAAGCAGCTAAGATTATTCACCAGTTTACTTGATTTAGTATCAATCTAAATTCTCAGTTAATTAAAGACCTTGGAAATTACGTTTAAGTTGATATATTACAGAGTAACATAATCATTAATGATATAAACTATTTAGGAAATTCAGATTAGCTACAATCTCCACGATAAAACACTCTCCATCACTCTCTCATCATCTTGCTTTATGTTCTTCATGGTTTCACAAACTGGTATCATCTTGCTTATTTATTTGCCTACTTATTTTTTGTGAATATTTTCCCAGTAGATGTAAGCACAATAAATAAAGATAATTTGTCTTCCTTAGTGCCTAGAACATGTAGGAGATATTCAATAAATAGCTTTGAATGAAGGAATACAGTAAGTCCTCACTCAGCCTCCTCAATAGGCTTGGACACTTTGATTTTAAGTGAAATTATATATAAGGAAATCAATTTTACCATAGACAAATGGACAGAAAGAAGAGTTAAGTTCCTACAGCATATTTCTGATAACAAAAATACCACCAAACTTCTAAATAAAGACTAAAACACTTTCAATATTGAACACTGAAATAATTGTGAGTCATACATATGTTTAGTAAAGATTAGTAAAAACAAGGAAGAGAATTATTTACCCGCTTATTCCAGTTTAGAGTTCGGGTGGCCAGAGCCTATCCCGGCAGTTCAGGGCTCAAGGTAGTAACCAGTCCTGGACAGGATGCCATCCCATCGCAGAGCACACTCACACACACCCACAGTCATTCACGCTGGGGCTACACACCAGTTTGCCTAACATGCACATCTGCGGGACGTGGGAGGAAACCGACCAGGGTACCTGGGGAAAATCCACGAAGACATGAGGAGGACATGCAAACTCCACACAGTTATCAGGGAAACAATTTTTTTTCCTCATCAACGTTATAACAGAAGGATGTTATTCAGGGGTCTGCTGTACATGAATAAAATCTTTACTCATCATAATTGTACCAGATGTGAGGAATAGGTCTCATTTTATTATGGAGCTTGGGTGGGCTACTGGGTGTCAGACTCAAAATTTTGGTTTTGTGATTTCTAATACAATAGATCATATTATTCCCCACAACAAAAGAAATACACCTGTACAAGTCAAAAATGAAAAGAAAAAGTCTTGTGTAGATATAATTCCTAGAGAGGGTATTTGCTATGGATTGCATCCTAATGGGGGCCTCAAAAGGCAGTGTTTTTTTTTTTTTTTTTCTGGAGACAGAATCTCACTCTGTTGCCCAGGCTGGAGTGCAGTGGGGCAATTCGGCTCACTGCCGCCTCTGCTTCCAGGGTTCAAGCGATTCTCCTGCCTCAACCTCTCCAGTAGCTGGGATTACAGGGGCCTACCACCACGCCTGGCTAATTATTGTATTTTTATTAGATACAGGGTTTCACCATGTTGGCCAGGCTGGTCTCGAACTGCTGACCTCAGGTGATCCACCCGCCTCAGCCTCCCAAAGTACTGAGATTACAGGCATGAGCTACCACCCCTGGCCAAGGCCATGTTTTGATGGCAGCCAATGTCATTAGACTACAACTTCTAATGTACAAGTTCCCCCCCAGTATCAGGGGCTCTCTAACAGAGTATTACTTATTTCTTTCAGGTCCTGATGGTTTTCTCTTTGGAGTGGTTGTAACAGAGGGCCAAAGAAGTTGTGAGTTGTTTTCTGGCTTTTGCTGTAACAAAAGCTTGTTGAAATTGGCTATTTCCCCTCCTCATACATCCAGCACAGCATCCATTATTCTTCCCTTCAGTGCTCTCTTAGCAAAATCAGTCCAGCTGAGGCAGCAGACTTAACATGGTATGCTCCTGTGGGGATTCAAACTTTATTTCTGGCTTGCTTTTAGGGTCCCAGGGCAAGTCGATATTAAAGAGATACTAATAAACTGCTAAATGGAAAGCGAGACTAGGCCTCAGCTGGCTCCAGTCCTGAGCTTCTGCCTTGTCCCAGAGGGTAGCCAATGTTGACAGCAGGGTACATGGAGTTACCAGTTGTCCACCCAAGGGAACTCTCATCCCCTTCACTAACCAGGGAAAATGTTGTATTAAGATTGTCCTCCTGTTGCAGTGAGCTGAGATCGTGCCACTGCACTCTAGTCTGGGTGACAGAGCGAGACTCCTCTGCGGGCAGAAAGAAAAAAAAGATTGTCCTCCTTCAACTCTTTTTTTACTATTATATGAGAGTTTTGTATTAAACTATTCAGAATTGGGTTGTCCTTGTTTTTAGGTTCCCACACTATCTCTTTTGAATAAAACATGTTGTTGGGACAGCCCTTAGGGTTTTTGTCAAATCATTTCTCCTGTGAATCCCCTTCATCCTCGCTGTCCTTCACTTAAGAAACTAACATCTGATAATAATGATTTAGAGGTCATTTCTGCTGACCTCATCCCTGAATCAGAGGGAACAGCAAGGAGTAAGTTCTAAGTTTGGGGCCCACACCATATCAAATTTAGGCCTGGGGAAGGCAGTATGGCTCTTTCCAAACCCTCCAAAACACTACTGGGCTCCAAGACTGCTCAAAGTCTCACTGATAGTCAAGGCTTGTGCTCCCTTTTTCAGAAGAGTAAGATTAAAGAAAACTACTGTGAATTAAAAAGTGTGGGTACCAAGATGGGACGGGAGTCCCCTCTCACTCTGTGGATGACATGGAGGGGGCAGAAGATTGCAGAATTGGCATTGTCCTGCATGGAAGCTGGGCCACCCACAGTGGCGTGGGAAGCCTCTCAGATGCTGGATTCTAATGGGCTCTTGATCACCTTGGATTGGGCTATTTCATTGTTATCGCAAAATAAACAGGACGCTCAAAGTAATGTTATGGCAGAGAACCAACCAGCTTCACACTGGTCCTCTAAACCAATTCTCACAACAGGGCTGGGAGACAGGTGTTACCTTTCCACTTTACAGAGAATGAAACAGAGAGGCAAAGCCTTCGAAGGACCCTATACTTCGGACATTGCAAAGCAGGATCTGAGTCCCGGCTCCTCCGTCCAGCTAGACTTTCTTTCCTATGTCTAGACTATAGCTGGAAAGGTCCTGGAGGACACATTTTAGGCCAACCCTCTCCGTTTACAATCCAGAGAGCGGAGACCCCCGAGAAGCCAAGTGACTTGTCCGAGGCTACGCGGCGAGTGTGTGGCAAGGTAGGAGGGAAGACCGAGACGCCCTGGTCTCTCCTTTCTCTCGCAGGTTCCTTTTTCCCGGTGCACAGCCCGCAGGGGACGCTGGAGGAGGAGCTGAGCCGGAGTTGCCGTGGCCCCGGGCCGGGGCGTTCCGGGGGCGGTCCCCAGCGGCCGCGCATTCCAGAGCCAGTCGCGCGTCCCGGACGCTCTTGCGCGCTCCCGCCTCCCGGGGCAGCCGGGGCACGTTCCGGGCGCTGCCTGGGGCTGAGGTTCCTGGCCTGGGGGTCGCTTCCATCCGCCAGATCCCATGCAGTCCTGGGGACCCTGAGAAGCACCGAGCCATCCCTGCCCCAGGAACTTTCCGCAGACTCGCCGCCATCTGGAGTGAGTGGAGCCACCGGGGGGTTGTTTGTGGGGACTCTGGCAGAGCGGAGCTCTTGGGACTTGCGACCTACCTCTAGTGCGGCCCCTTCCCCAGGGCTCCCAACGTTCTTCTTAAGTCCGTTCTCTCCTCCCCCATTCTCCCTTTTCATCACTTTTGTATTTCTTGCCCTTACCCCCTCCTCCTTTTTCTCCCGCTGTCAGCCCCTAAGTTCGAGCTCACTCGTGCACAGAATTTTGGGCCTGGGGGAGGCGGAGCTTGGGTGGGCGAGCCCCAGCCCCACTCGGAGACTGGCTTCTCTCTGGGTCCCCTGCCCTTGCCTTCTCGGGAAGCCTCCTCCTCGGGCGGACTGCCACCTCCTGGCTCTCCAGGCCCAGCGTCAGGATTCAGCGCCCGGGCCTGCGCACCTGCTTGGGCGCTGTGCTGGGTTTCGGTCTTTGCACTTATCTGTCCCCCTTTTCTCGAGGCTCCGTGTGGAAGGCGCCAGGAGTTTGGAGTCGAGAGTGGCGAGTTCCAGCCCTGGTTCTATCACTAGCTGCTTCACCATCCTTGTTTTTCCATCAGTGAAACGAGGAAAACATTTTTTGCGTGCAGAAAGCAAGCGAGAAAGGACGTGAGCAAAGTCTCTTGGAGAGAAGCCTTTCTTCAGGCTTCCTCCTGCTGGTTATCTCTGCCTTTCCTGAGGACGTAGTTGTTCCAGCTGCCGGTTCTTTTGCTCCCTACTCTCCCCCATGCCAGTTTCTTGAGGGTAGGGACTGCCTGTCCATCGTCATCTTTGAGGCATCCTCAGCTCTTGGCATAGGGCCTGGCTAACAGTAAGTGCTCCATACATAGGTACTGAATGAAAGGATGAAAGGGGTAACCCCCCCCCAAATTGAAACAAACCTCAGGGGCTGTTATTCTGATTGAGGGCTAAGCTGGGCTCTTACTCATGCAGCTGCACTTGTTTCTTCTGGACCAGCTGGAATCCTGCTGCACCTGGGGGCTGAGGAATCTCTAGTTCGTCTGTAGTGAATACTAAGGTCCTTAAAGCTCCAGGGTGTGGTGGTGAAGGCTGCACAATCACACAAGTATCAGAGATTCCTTGAACATCTGCTATGATGCGTGCTGCTACTGCAGTGGGCACATAGTTTGGAAGAATTGGGGATGCCTGAATGAGGTGGAGGTGGGAGTGGAAAGAACGGTTCTCTGCAGGTTAGGAGACCCTCTCAGTTACCCTAATGGAGGCATTTCCCCTCTCTGGCCCTTGCCTTCCCCATCTGTAAAATGAAGACGCGGGAGTGGAACAGATGTTTGTTTGTCTGTGGTTGAGCGTAGCATGCTCTTTGGTTTATGCAGGTCGCACAGCAGCCATCTAGACACACGCAAGGCAGCACAGCTGAGCTTTAGGACATCATGTGCTTCTGCAGTGACAACCGAAAAAAACAAAAAGTGTTTTCCTGCTCCAACCGGGCCCTCCTGTTCCCAGCCGTCCTGGGACTGTGAATCATGCTATGGGGGTTACAAGTCATGCTTCATGAGGTCTCCCACAACTGACCTCTCCAAACCTCAGAACTGTGGCTCCATGACACAAAAGATCTGGGGCGTCCCAGAGAACAGCCAGAGAACCACTGAGCTGCAGTGAGGTGTTAGAGATGCCAAACAAATGAGAGACTCTGGGGACCTGTGGTCAGGTCAGATCCCAGGCCCTTGGGGGTGACGGACCAAGGGAATAACGGCCGGTCACAGCCTCAGATGCTTTTCCAGCCATATGCCAATCCTTTAAACATTGTGCCTCCATTTCTTCTCTATGGATTGAAACATGCAAACAGAGGAAATACCTCCAAGAAAAGAGGATATCTTGGTTGAGCGTGACAGTGGTATAAAAAATGGGCACGGGTACTCACAAACACAGTTTATTGGAGTATAGGAGTAAATCTTAGCATTGCCACACCCTGCCTTGTCCTCCCCAACCCTGACTGGCCCAGTAAGCGGAATCATGTTATAATGATCATACTTGCCATTTACTGAGTACTTACTATAAACTAGGCATGACTCTAAGCATTTTACTTGTATTAACTCATTTAGGCTTTACCACAATCCTATTAGGGAGGGACTGTCATCACCTCCATTTTGTGGATGAGGAAACTGAGGTCCAGAGAGAGTGACTCACCCATGATCACACAGAAAGTAAGTGGCAGAGCTGTAATTTGAATGCAGGCACCCTGGCTCCAGGGCCTATCCTCTGAACTTCATTGGAATTGGAGGGAACCAGTTTCAGATCTTGCCTCTGTCACTTACTTTCAGGGTGACCTGGGAGAAGTGAAGTGAGAATTTGATAGTCACTGTTCTAGTGGATCCCTGGAGACCTAGTACCCTTCCAACTTACTAGGGAAGCAGAAGGTGAACCTCAAGAGATAATGGAGACATCTAGCAGTGAAGGCTTCGAGTTAGGTAGTTAGGAAGGGGAACTGCTCAGAAGTATAATTGCCTAGCACATTAAACAACAGCAAGCCAGATTCCACGTCTAAACCGTATACTTTAAATTGCTTAGTTGTGTATACAAAGAGCTTCCTGATTTTATTGATTTGCACTCTGATTGGCTGATTGGATGTTTCTTGCTAGTGACCCACTATATAGGATCATATTCAAGATTCTGGGGACCAGGACATAGATGTCTTTGGGGGTGGTGGTGGGCATTATTCTGCCTTCTATACACATGAGGCCCACTTTGGGAGAGAGACCTGTTGAGGCTCACACATTGAGGCAAGGCACTACCACCACCCGGTGCTCTTGCAGCTCTGTCCCGGAGCACCCTACCAGCCCCTCTCATGGACAGTCTCCTTTGTTAGCCTGACACACAGCAGGCACTTAGTCACTGGCAAATAGCAATGATGGATGGTAGTGCCTTAAACAGGATGCTGGGGATTTGGCCTGGGCTTTCTCCTCTGCTAGCTCTCTGTTGGTTTCTAAGACTCTGTAATTGGCTGGGTCAGATGGTACGTGCGGTCTTACACAGCTCTGGCTGTGTTCCGATCTCTTTGCAATATCCTGGTGTTTTTCCATTTTTGCAGCCACAGAGGAGCAGATGGAAACTCAGGCAGGTCTGTAGCCTGTTAGGAAGTTTGGAGAGACAGGGGCCAGTTGGGGTGAAATGAGAACACAGTGCTCCTTTGGGACTTTGGGACAGTGGAGAAAAGCCTGTTATTTGATTCATTTCACAGTTTTGGTAGTTGTATGTCCTGTCCATTCCTTCGTCTGGCCCCTTTATTTGGACCAAAGGTCCCTGGTGAAATGACTGTGCTGGGTTGGTAAATGTTTGAGGCTGTTACACAATGGGAGGAGAAATAATACTGCTAAGAGTAAATGTGAAGCTGGTATGGCCTTCTCATAATGGACTTGGCATGGGAAACCTGCCCCCCCTTTTATCAGCCTCCCTGTCCTCTTCTGAGAACAGAAAGATTCACATCTTGGGCAACAACGCTGCTCTCCTCACCCCTGTCCCCCCTCCCCACCTCAGTGCCCAGCTCCTGAGCACATGGTGTCAGAACTCGAATTTGAACTTCTCAGTCCAAGCAAATCAACAAGTGGGAACCCTAGAGGACTTCATTCTGAAAGGCCAGTTCTCTTCTGCCTGGTATGTACAGGGTGGGCTGGGAAAGAAAGAGGCCCCCATAATCCTTCCTGAATGTACAAAGAGCGCAGAAAATGATAAAATCAGAGGATGTCATGTTATTTTGGAGATAGGATTCTGACTTTTAGGATCATTGGGACTTTTGCAGGGATGAGGATTCTTTCTGGACCTCTTCAGTCAATTAGGTTCCACGAGTGAGCTCACATCTGAAATAGTCTTCCCATACTCATTTCTTCATTGATTTTATATTTTTTGGCACTTATGATATGCCAGGCCCTGTGATAGGTGCTGAGGACACAGCAATACACAAGAGCTGAGGCTTCTGCTATCCTTGTGCTTGCATTTGAGGGACCAAATGAACAAATCTTTAGCCTGATAGGGAAAAAGCCAATAAAAACAAACAAGCAACAAACAAGCTAATTTTAGATTGTGAAAAGCGTCTGCAGAAAATAAAACAAGATAAGAGTGGTAGTTTAACGGAGTGGGTCTGGAAAGACCTTACTAAAACGTAACATTTAGATTGAGGTCATGGACATTGAGGCAGTGGACAGGGGAGGAAAAGAGCATTCTGAGAAGAAGCAGCAAGCACAAAGGTCTTCAAGTGGGACCGGCCGCCAGGACACAGTTGTTAGGGTTCCCCAGGCTACAAAGTGACTAGTATGGCTCCATCTAGGAACCTGAATTGCCATCTCTGGCTTAAATGTTCCATTCTTTCCTGACAACCTCAGCAGCATCTTCTGAGGGTGGAACCTTTTTGGAAGGGGTCCTATAAGGTGGACAACGCTGGCAAACCCTCTAGTCCTGTGCCCTGGGAACCATCAGCCTTGTTCAAATTCTGCAAAATACTTGAAGAGTTATGCATCTTTGGACGCCCCAGCATCAGTAACTCGGAGCTGGTTATGGCTGTCTGCTCTCTGGCCACCGTGGCTGGTGGACACAAAACAGCAGCAGCATGGTCTGCACAGAGCGCTGGCAGTGCTGGGCTAAGGCCACACCTGCAGGAAGCCGCCTGCCTCTATCTGCCTTGTCTCCCACTTTGAGATCATTAAGCTTGCCTGCCAGCAGGAAGTCACTCCTTTTATTGCCTTCTTCCTCAGTGAACTCTCTGGCAGTAAAACCTGTTGGATAACCATTGGCAAGCTCTCAAAAGTTGACTGTTAGCTGCAGCTCAAATGTGGAGGGTGTAAGTTTCCGGTGGGAGGTTCAAGCTGGGGACAACTTAAAATTTTTTTACTTAAAAAAACTTTTCACTGTGGTTTCCTACATTGGTCCCAGATCAGTCACGAAGCAGGCACGACACCCTAACTAATGGCAGAGCCTCTGAACTCTTTTTTTTTTTTTTTTGAGACAGAGTCTTACTCTGTCACCAGGCTGGAGTGCAGTGGTGCG